CAGTCTAGTATCGGTGTATGTTGTCTTGTAATTCTTGATGTTACTAAATCCCAAGTGTTTTAGTCTGTAATATGCATATCGATTATCACAAACTATTCTTTGTTGTGTCTTTTTGCCTTTGACCTCAAAAAAGATTAGTAAAACGACATATAACATCCAGTGAGAGCTAATAAACCTCAATTCAATTGGATACTGTTAGTCGTATTTGACTTGGAACCCTTATTTAAGATTGATTGTACTGATCTGTTGATTGTATTATTTCCCCCTTGTTTGCTGTTATGAATCAACGAAAGTGAGTATTGAATTTAGTAAAAACAAAAAATGAATTCTCACTAGAAAGAATAAACAGTAATCGACCGCAGAGAGAAATTCTGCAAATATAAAACAGTAGCTGTATGCTATAAAGCTCCTGACCGAAAGCAGGCAAGCAAATTACTATGAAAAAATGAGTGTAAGCTAGGATGCTCAATTTCTTATTTACCTTTTGAATTAAAGACCTTTGCTACTACCTGAACCTAATTTTAAGAATATACCTGATGTGACTAGTACTACACTTCCAGCACCTGAAACTCCGGTACATGGAATTTGAAGAGAACATGCAGCTTTGCCCATGTTGTTTTACAAACTTGTTAATAAACAGGGTTGATTATGATGAAAATCTACTAATGACCTTGTTTTTGCTTTTGTACATCTAGATTATTGCTCCTGATTATCTTTATCTCATCTATAGATTTGCTTTACTTTGACAACAATTCCATCATAAGTTAGAGATATTAGATTTACTATTATAGTTCAAAGGATATTTGGGACATTTAGATTATTATTACCTGTTCCCTTTTTTGTTGGTAACTTCATGTATATCCTCTTCACCTGATCTGTGAATGAAATAGATATCCACTTATCATACATATATCCACCTGACCTTTCTTCATTCCAGGCTTTTTTGCTCTGAAAATCAATGCATAAATTCTCTTGAACCTAAAGCAAAGTTTGGTGGATCTCTTTTCACGCTAAAAGTAACTCATTTAATCAATTTTAAGATGGCGGTGAATCAATAAATATTAATTTGCTCAAGGGCACCCTCTAGGGCCTTCGTATAAATGCTTCACAAGGAATCTTTTGCAAAATTTCTGTTGTAGCCCTTTTGCATTGTTGTCTGACATCATAGTAGAAGGAAAATGGAAATGGCCTACCGGAAGGAAGGCAACAGCAGGGGTGAGGAGATTAAAGGAGGTCACACCTGAAAGTCTGGTTCCCTTGACAGATTTTGAGGATCAGGTTGTTTGGGAAGGATGCCGCTCCGGGGTGTTCAATACCAAGTCTGTCATGAAAGCTCTATATACAACGAGAGGAGAAGTATCGTGGAGTAAGTTGGTTTGGGGTAAAGGCTATGTTCCAAGATATGCTTTTATCGTTTGGCTTTTATGTAAAAAGAAGTTGCCTACAATGGATAGACTTGGAAAATGTGGTGTATCTCTGATATCTTTTTTTTTTTTTTTTTTGTCAAAAGTGTATCTCTGATATCTAACATGTGTGTTTTTTTGTAAAAGAGCAGAGGAAAGCATGGAGCACCTATATTTCAACTGTTGCATGACAAGACCTGTGTGGGCTAAGGTTCAGCATATGTGCCTGACCTTTAGGGGTTCATGCTCCTGGGATCAGAATCTAGCTTGGCTTGCGGCACATTTGAGGTCAAACTCCTTTGCAGACCAATTGAGAAGATTGTGCTTTGCTGCAACAGTGTAACAGATATGGAGATTCAGGAATGCTGTCATTTTTCAGTCAAAATCGGTTAGAAGATATTGTGGAAGCAGTTAGACATGCAACTAGTTTTTGGACAAGTTTTCCAAAAACTCAGGAAAACTGGATTCTTGTGCTTGAGTAGGGGTTGGACTGGAAATGCCTCGTGTAATAGTATAGCAGACAAGTAGTGCCTTGCATGATGGAGAAAGATGTGGCAGTGGTTTTTCCTTTTTCCTCCTACCATTGTGTACAAGCCTTATTGCTTTGATCAATAAAAGCTCCTATTATTTGCCCCAAAAAAAAAAATATTTTTGTTCAAGTACTTCAGATGTCAACAATTTTTAAGAACAAAATCGAGTCCACGTAGCTGCAGAACGATGAAACTGTCTGTGACATTTCAAACGAAAGCCCTAAACTGGATGTATGGACCCAAACAATAAAAAGAAAGCCCAAGTAGGGGCAGGCTTGCTTAACAAAGATCAAAACCTTGCGGTTTGATCTGCTCCTGTATTGACAGGGATGTAAGTGAGTTTAATCGAGTTGAAAATCTTACTGTTTAAATTTATTTGATTATTTTAATGAGTTAAAATTTTATTTAAATTTGATTTGTTTATTTGCTCAATTGAAACTGAATATTATCAAATGCAAACAAATCAAGCTCAATTCGAACATTGAGTTCATTTTTCAACCCTATATATTGCCAAATCAAAACCAATCCAGCTCTTCCTTATAAACGATTATAATTCCATCAATTCAATTTTTCTTTTTTTTCCACTAATTATTTTAAAAAAAAAAATAAAACTCTTTAAAAAGAAAAGGTCTTCCCCTTTCCTATCCATTTTCTACGAATTCTTCGGACCTAAACAGAAACGAAAAAGGCTTGCAACAATATTGGTAGAAAAGCCACTAGAAAATGTACCTCTTTGCCATTTATAATAAATTTCCTTTTCAGAAAACTGGGAGAGGAACTTTATAGTATGATTTTTTGTTGCAGTAGATACGTAGTTACTCCGATTGCAACAAAAAAAAAAAGAAAAAAAAAAAGAAACGTTATTGTCCTTTTTGAGTGTGACATTAACAAATGTGATGCATTGCAAATGCTGATAAAATATTCATGTTTTTGTAGTATATGTTTCCAGACCATATAAATAACAGGAAAACTGAAAAGAAAGAAAATTGAAAGGGGACCGCCGCCCAATTGGTCTTTTCCGGTGGCCGTGGACGTCTGCCAGGCGCCAATTCCTAGCTGACTGGTAATGGAGAACGAACTTTGACTCTAACGCAGCAAGCCAACGAAACTAACACAGACGGTGGGCCCCTGGTCAATTTAGGCAAGACCGTCAAGTATTCTCCCACGACCGAACAAACAATAAATGTTTCATATAAATACTAATTTTTCAGACAGAAAAGAAACCGCACCAATCATTTTTCTATTCAGCAACAACAACAAATTTTTTTTTTTTTGGTCGAAAATTCAACAACAACAACTTGCCTATACATGTCTTTATTAAACAATTACGGAACTGTAGGACCCTTTTTTTTTCTTTTTTGGTCCTGATGTATTTTATCATCCGTTTGGATTGGCCCTTTTTTCAAAAACAAGTTTTTCAAATACAATGTTACAGTAATACATAAAAACTCAAAAAATATCTCATCCATACAATATTTCAAAATTTTCAAAAATTTTTTATAATAATCATATACACTACTACAGTAAAATTTTTCAAAAACACCCTAAAAAACAGCAAATCCAAACAATTTTCTTTTGAATAGGGAGGAGTGAGATTTAAAAATAGGAGAATTGATTTCAGGATCTCTAATACCTGAGATTTCAACCTCAATCACTAGTTTAATGCCTCTTTGCCTTGATGTGATTCCTACTAATAGTAGATTCTTTTAAGATAAGATTACAAACAATGCCCAATGGTTTAAAATAATACAATCAACATATTAACTCATAAATGGTGAAAATTACAATTAAAAATAAATCTATCAATAGTGAGAGAATAAACTCACATGATGATGTCTATCTTAACCTTCACGTAATTATTGTAAGAAACAAGAATACGTCATAATGCAGGTGCCAACACTAGTCAGTCGTTTCTTGTTGCAAGTGAATGTTACGAAAAGACTTGTACCTGTTTAACTCAAATTATGCCACAATGAAATTCTACACCTACCCAAAAAAAAAATGTATATTTTGAGCATTAATATTTTATTTTAGTGATCATTCAATTTAGTCAATCTTGTCCTTCTATATTTTCAAGGTTTAAGAATTAGTAAAATTCTCCTTGTAAGTGACCTTTAAAGGATGGTCAAGCAAATGCAACCTGCTTACAAATAAGCAATTATTTTGAATTTAACAAATATTATGTCCTTATTAGAAGAATGAATTTATCCACTCGGGTGGAATTTACAGAATCATAGTAGGACATGCTTGTAATTACAAACAAATTTGCAGTGACCTTTAGGATTATTCAAATTTGCAATGACATGAACATTCTAATTAAACTACCTACTTTTGTTATCTCTTTCCTGATGCTCATTAAACCAGTCTTCTTTTTGGCAATTCCAATCATTCCGGTACCCTACAAGAAGGCTATATTTCCATAATAATAATAATGTTCCCAACACATAAACCATTTACCATTACAAGTAGGCAATCACTTGATTATAGGTGTGAAAGGGGGAAAATCTTGCAAAAGCTGCTCCATGTGAATTTTTTATTTTTGGTTTGTTGCTCTAGTTTTACGCAACTGCAAACATCCAAAGATATTATTATTATTTCCTTCAAAAACTTCTACTCACGGTATTCCTGCTAATTGGAGCTGACACTGCAGGATAAGAAAAAATCATCTAGAATTTGCATTAATTGATATCTAGCTGCTTCCATGTACATTGCAAACTATGTGGTTATTCATGACGAAAATGAAGCAGGATTTTATTGGATGGATGTCTAACAGGCACTCGTTATTGCACTTACGTTACACCACCTAATTTAACATGTGAATACGCACAATGATAATTATTTACTAAGACGCTTTTCTAAATTAATTACACTTTTTCAATAAAACTAACACTTAAAACCCCTCCTAACAAGTATTTATCCAATAGCCATTGTTAGCCAAATCAAGTATGCATAGCGAAAACTTATATAATTTCAATGCTAAGGGAACGTGCTTGGAAAATTTCCAATCAAGAAGCCTGGCATTACACGGCAGCTTCGTTATCTTTAGGTAGATAAAGACACACGAATTAGGCTACTATTTAGGCAGCATCAGCATATTAGTCAAAGCTCGTGCTAAAGATTTGGGACTCGATTTTTTGCCATCAGCTTTTGGGCTCAGACTTCAGACATATGTACTCCAATAACTGCAGTTTACGTAAGATAAGGTCTGCAAAATCTCTTGTTTCTGCATTTCTTGTTCTGTTTGCTTGTGGGGTTCAATGTAGAATTTTATAGTAACCTTGGCGAAGTATCCGACCGCGACCACCCCGTAACTGACACCTGCTTACATTCAGCACAAGTTTCTGGATATATCAATCATATGATATATTCTTCTTGATAACTTTCCACCACGGACTCTTGGCTTAATCCAATTCGAACCATCAGATTCCTCCGTCTTTTTCTTCTCGAAAAGAAATACTGCACCGATTAAAAAAAAAAAAAGAGTCAAATACCCCCCGTGTCAGGGCATTTTAAAGCCCAGCCTTTATGCAAGAGAATTAACCACAAACACTTCAGTTTTAGCTAGAGATGGATTCTTCATCCTATGAGAATCCAAGTCCTGATCAGAACTTCCTCTTCTCTGAGTTTTCATTCTGGTTTCTTGACAACAATAATGTTCCTAAACAAAAACTTGAGACTACTGAAGCTATACAATCGTTGAATTTGACAAGGGATTCCAAGAGGCGAGAAAAGCAATATATAGGAGTAAGAAAGCGTCCATGGGGAAAATATGCAGCGGAAATCAGGGATTCAACAAGGAATGGAATAAGAGTTTGGCTAGGAACATTTGACAGTCCAGAACAAGCAGCTTTGGCTTATGACCAAGCAGCTTTCTCGATGAGGGGTACCCTGGCTAGCCTCAACTTTCCAATGGATCGAGTCCAGAAATCGCTTGAAGGTATTAAGCATAACTGGGAGAATGGCTGCTCGCCAGCTGTGGTTCTTAAGGCAACCCACAAAATCAGGAGTAGTGCGTCAAAAAGAACAAGGAGAAATCTGAAGCAACAACACGTAAAGGAAAAAGTTGTGCTGGAGCTTGAAGACTTGGGAGCTGACCTTTTGGAGGAGCTTCTCAGTTCCTCATCTGAAAGTGCCGCTAGTAGTCATAATTAGAAACTTAAAGTCCTTAATTACCTTCATTTCCCCTCTTGGTAGTTTTGTATTCCATAATTAATCCCATGTATATCTCTGTAGAATAAACAAAATGAAATTAGCCTCACTCTTATGTATAGTTAGCTACTTCACTTTCTCCTACTTCCTACCTCAGCACTTTTTCTTCTTTTACTTTTAACAGAAAATCGCCTAGAGATTTTAGCCAGTTATATCAAGATTAAAATGCCTACTTTTCTTTTTGCAAATTGATAAATATAAAGGAGCTAACAAGTGAAATCGTGATCTGATATATTAAATTTTTAATATTGTATTAGGCTTTGGTAAATTGGAAATCGACATGAGATCCATCTTTCATTTACAGATAAATACCTGCTTTCTCTGTTGTCATTCTCTTCCTTGTGGTTTCTTTAGTGTAATTAATTATCTGCGATGCAATACATATATTTCCGGTTTACATCTCAAAATCTACATGTATATACATTGTAATTCCTAGCAATTTGACCTTTAATATTTCAGCCAAGAGCTCAAGCGTCTTTAGTCATATATAGTTGCAATATGAAGTATACATTATGTTTAAGCTTTTGAAACACCGTAAAAATGATCAAGAAGAAACGTATATTTCCCTATATTTAGAGTATTAAGGACCTACTCCATTAGGGATCCAATAAAAGGTTAAAAGAAATGCACGGAGCCAGGAAGCCAGAAGATATTCTTTTTGTTCAAGTACAAGAAAGGAAATGTTGTTCAGGCATTAATCCTGCAATCCTTCAGAGAAGGAAACATAACATGTTTTGGGGGGTCCGCTTATAATGAAAAGGCTAATCGAGGAAGGAAAACAAACGAATTCACGTAAAGTCGATTTGTTGATGTGTCGTTGTTTCAATTAGTTATGAAGCAGTCAGCCACTTGTACCAGTTGTTTTAGCTTGGCCTTTATATGTCCAGCAGTCAGCAGATGGGTATGAAGTCTGTCAATAAAAATATCTTGCTCGAGAGACGACATTTCTACAACAACGTTATTTGTTAAGGCGATTATTATTTTTCAACTTATGTTGAAATGGGAATTTTCTCACAGGTATCACGGGACACTAATTAATATATTTGTATTATATGTAATTTATCATGTGAATATATGCATTCATAATTATCATATATCATGCATTTTGATGCTAATTTCTAATTTACTTTTATAAACAAATTAATACTTTTGACCTCTCACAGCCAAACCCTTTGAAACATTTGATAACATTTTCTACCAAGTTGTACACAAAATGAATGAGACATTGTAAATGAAATTACCAGTGAATGTTACATTAATGAAACTACATAAATAAGATGATTGCGAGCCATAGTTATTCAATTCGGATCGATTCAATGGTTCAACCGGTTAACCCGATAAATCAATCAATTAGTCGAGTTGGGTCTCTAATCTAATCAAATAAAGATAAAACATTGACTTGGCAACGAACTGATGATTCAACCGAATTGAATCTAAAACTTGATCGATTTTGAAAAGAATTGAGTAGCATAGATTTTGTGAGTAAATTCATCTCGATCCAGTTAACTCGATGAATCGAGCAATCAGTTGAGCTGGATCTCTAATCTAATTGGATAAGGATAAGACCTGTTAATTTGTCGGCGAACTGGTGGATCAACCGAATTGAATTGAAATCTCGACCGATTTTGTAAAAAACTAAGCAGCATAGTTTTTGTGGTAAAAGTTTTAGTAACGTACCGGTATGGTTCCAACTTCGGTCCTTGTGTAAGTAAATAGAATACACTTACCATTGGACCACTAGGCCATATATTAGTTCATGATCCTTTTTATATTTTATGAACTTTTTCAGTCAATTCTTTCTTTATTTATTTCTGTAAAATAAATTTGTTTGAAATCTTTTAATAAAATTTATTAATCTCCAGACTCTATAGTTTACGACATGAATTTTAAAAATAACATATTACACAATTCATTTTAAAGATAAATATTGTTTCTAATCACCTTTTGCGCTTAAAATTCGTAAATGAATTAGATAATTACACCAAACATAGATAAAATTGTACACTTGAAGGTTGTTGGATTAATAATTAAATTTGGGTTTTACTGGTTCTTATAAGTATTAGTTATTCTATAATGAATTAACTTAAATGAGTATTTGCTATGGTGTAGTTTATTAATGTTTATACCATATATCCTACATCGAAACTTTTGAAATATAATATTTAAATATATTCAATAATCCACTGGTTCAACCAGACCATTCATCCACTAATTGAACCAGTAATTCGTTGATCCACCTCCTTCGTTGGTTCCTTTGTAGACCTTTTTTAATAACTATGCTGCAAGCAACATGGGATGCCAAGTTCAAAAAAGTGAAGTAATGGATAAACTTGAAAATGTCAAAATGATTATTTAGTTTAATGGGTTAAAAAAACCTTATTAGCCAGAAATCACTCTCAAACAATAAACAGAAAAGGACGGATCCTTCAGAGAAAGGACAGATCCTTCAGAGAAAGGACAGATCCTTCTTAATCAACAAATGGAATATCACAAGTAGGAAAAAAATTTCAGCCGTCTTAAATTGCATTTACGGGTACGTGCCTATCTTCTTCCAAAATATTCTTTAAAAAAAACTTCTTCATTGTTATTTTATTCTTTTTTATCCTAGTCAAATTGTTCTGCATTAGATCAGATTCTGCCTACCTGTCAAAGAGTCGAGATAAAATTGAAATTCTCGATTACCGCTATGGGTAGACCAAGATGTAATAGATATACTAGGGAAGTTGAAATTTAATGTTTTGTACGTAATGTACTTCTTGTGCTTCAATGTCAGCACAATTATTTCCTTTCTTTGGACAATACAAGATATACATTTTTTTTTTTTTTGGAGGAAGGACCATACAAGCTTAGGATAGTTCGATATTTTTGCCGAGCAAGAGAAATTTGGTCTTGAATGTTCACCCAAATAGCACCAATAAACACACCTTCAAGAATTGCCTTTATAAGGAATATATGTCAAATGTGAAACCAGATTAGCCCAATGAAGAAGTTCAAATTGTATAAAGGACTAAAATATACACTACAAAGTAAAATGAAACTTATTCAAAGTCTAAATCATGCCATGCATTATAATGTCTAATTTACTTCATCTTGCTCTATGTGGTTTGGATTTTTTTTTTTTTTTTTTTACACTTCCAATCCTTCTTGCACAGAATTCGAATCTTAAATCTGTAATGAGGAATTCCAAGAACCTCTTCTAACCATTGGACAAGTATTTTGGCTTTCAAGGACCCTAAAGTTGCTACTCTTTTAGTCAATTTTCATCTGCACATGTAGCTTATCATTTCTCATACGATTTTTAAATTCACAATTGACTTGGTTCAGCGAGAAAACTAATACATACCAATAAACAAGGTTTGATACTCATATCTTATGCAATATTGTTTTAAAATTGAACGGGTGATCCAAGACTAGACGTTGGTATGAGCAAATCTAAATGGAGGAATGAGTTCTGATGCATTGGACCTTGGCAGCGCATGTACTAACCATACCTAGCTACAAGATGAATGCTGGAATTTTCTTATCTGTTGAATAATATTAATTACTCGTATCAGGTACCTCAGCCTCAATTTTTTAGGTGTTGTTTGTTGTTTTGTGTTGTTTGGGGGGGGGGGGGACCAAGATTAATGCACAAGCTTAACATATTCAAATATGGTTTTTTTTTTTTGAGTGAACAGAGTATTAGAATATGGGTTGCCAACTAAATTCTACGTGAACCTATTTTCCATTTTTGAATGATGAATTATCATACATGCACTACCATCTGATCTTTGTTGAAAAAAGATAAAAAAAAAAAAATAGTTGGAGGCCGAGATGCATTTAATTACAGCCTTTTTTTAACCTTTTTATGTCGTGTGTCATTTTTCTTTTCACAAGCTCAAAAAAAAAGTTGATGTAGAGTTTTGGTGCTAATGTATGATGAGTTGATGACAATAGCTGAAGTCACTGAAGATGGAGAATTAATTGTCTAACTTTTCACAATATTGTCATTCTAAGCTTATCACCAAATACAGATAGATTCATCACTAATATCCTAATCTTTTACTCACACGACAATTAATTACAGGAGCTTTCAAAATCCATGCGCCTGTAACGGTACGACCAAGTTCATATATTTTGTTTAAACATACCCCAACTTTAGCTAAAATTGTATGTTATTGCATTATGTACACATCATGCTGTCCTTGGATTGGACCTTAAAACGAAAGGCCATTCCAGTTCGCAAAAGTTACCTTTCTGAAAAGATTGGAAAGCTTACTTTTGTTCCAGTATTGACAACATAAATACATGGCTCGTAAAAAAGCGTCCAAAACTCTGCTGACTTTGACAAAAAAGACATCAGCCTCAGTCACGGGGGTATGGGGTCTTTTTAGGTCTGGCAGGCTCCCTTGTGGAGGTTGATATCCCACATCGGGGTTGGGGGGGTTTGGGTGGTTAGTATATTAGTCTCCTGTGAGACCTTCAAAAGTTGCCGGCTTTTGAGGGTTCTCACGGGGTTAAGGTTAGTAAAAAAGCGGGGTTAAGGGTTCTCAAGGGCAGTACCGGGTGAGAATTGATATCTGTTACCTTTCTGAAAAGATTGGAAAGCTTACTTTTGTTCCAGTATTGACAACATAAATACATGGAATGAAGAGAATTGGGTATTCTCATATTTGTTTCGCGTCCTATAATGAGGGTGTAATTCCCACCGGGCCACTTTCATTTTTTCTTTCCTGTTTCTTCGACTCAATCAATCTAAACCTGAAGCCGAGCCCATTCAGGTCTGGAAAATCAATCTAAACCTGGAGGAAAATCAAAAGAAACCTGTACGATCTCGTGGTTGTGCAATGGGAGGATCATGTCCGTGAAGGATGCGAGAGATAATCTAGAGAATGGCATTGTGGGAAGAGCGAAGAGGGTTCGTTTATATAAATTAAAAAAATTGGAGGGTGTTTTATGAAATATACCACAGGGCTTACAAGTTACAAGCATTGGTTATAGTAGGTGTCTGAAATTCTAAAGGCGACAGCCTGTATCTTAAGTTTCCACAAAACGCTTGCGATAGATTTGTGTCCAAGGAATAAGGAAACTACCGGAAAAAATTGAGTTGCTATAGCCAGAAGCCAATATAAGTAGTTTCCTACATTTAATTTTCAATTCCTACTCCTTCCCGCACTAGGAAGTCTAACATAATCCAAATTCAAATTGTACGAGGATATTTAACCATAGTGACTTCTATATAAACATCAATAAAAGTTCAGGCTTGGATATCACCCTTCTTGAATAAGATTTGTGTCAACCACTAGATCTTGCTCTTCTCTAATTGTAATACTCGGGTGCATACTTTTCTTGATATTGTGAGCTTTTCTTCTTTGGATTTTTCCCTAAGCAATTCCATGGCTCATCCGAGAAATTCTTCTGGTGATGGAAAACAAGTGTTGAACTTACCCTTTGGATATAGATTTTACCCTACCAATGATCAAGTCATACATTATTTGAAGCAGAAGATTCTTGGAGGAGAACTTCCTGCAGATATTATTCCAACAATTGATGTATATTCACACAACCCTGATCAACTTCCCTTAGGCATGTTCTATGTTTTTATTCAATTGTATATGCTCCTCTACCTTTTGTGGTTTGTCAATTTTCTAGAAATACTTTCGGTCGAAACAAACACACCCTTAGAGAATTAGTGAGTCGTATTACTTTTTCTGGTAAAAATAGAACTATTGCGCATGTGAAATGGTTGAAATTTTTTTTTTATGGTATTGATTTTGTTTGTGAATTGCGAGCTGTCATGCAGATAAATTCAAATATGGAGTGGCCGGTGAATGGTTTTTCTTCACCCATCGTTTAGCCGGTGACCTTCCCACCACAGATGGTTATTGGAGTCCCGCAGGCTTGCCGGCTGAAATTGGTCTTGATAATAGAATTATTGGCTTCAAACAGGTCGTGGATTTTTATTGGGGACACTCGCCCAATGGAACCAAAAGTAATTGGACCATGTACGAATATCGATTGAATCCTGACCAATTAGATGGAAAAGTTGATGAGACTACCCAAGCCAAGGTAATTATTGCCATTAACTCAGAATAAAGTTTATTTTTTGGTTTCTTAAGTGAGAATAATATGCTCAAGGAATAAATTTTATATACACTAACAGTGTATATACTATCATCGTTGAATTCATGATATATATGTAAAAATTGAATTTTAAATTCAAATTTTACATAGTTATCATTCATCCAGTGCTATCTTCTATCAGTCAGGTAGGAAAGATTAATTCTTTGAGTTAATTAGTTTGTCTTGCTTCTAGGTACAAAATTTTGTGGCATGCCGGGCCCGCAATAAGGACAAGTTCCAACCAACAGCAACGGGTGGAGCAATTCAAGAAAGAATTGGCAGCTTGCCAACTAACGAACTCGAATTTTTATCATCTGCGGTGATGGATGGCGGTGCCAATGAGTTGGCAATCATGCCAGACGGAAAAGAAACAGCACCTTTAATTTCTGCACATAGGATATTATAGATATCTCTTCTTTTCAACGTTCATGTTGAAGTTTTATCATAGTTATTAAACTCGGCTCGGTCTGGCGGTCGAACCGGTCAAACCGGTGAACTGGACATGGGACCGGGCTGGATTTTCAATTGGATCGTTTAAGTAATCAACCCGTTGATTAGTCAACGGACCGCCGGTTCGACCGGATTAAACCGGAAACCCGGCCGGTTGTGTCTAAGAACCGGGTTTCATATAAAAATGTTATGACAGTGCTGAGACTGAGAGTCGAAACCTGTGCGTCTGATACAAAGCAACATCGACGAAACCGCTAGGCTACCTCGCGAGATGGTGATAAGGTTGCTTACATATTATATATAAACATTTTATCAATTTTATCTTTCTGTTTTATTTCTCTAAAACAAATTAATTTGGAATCTTTTAATAATAATTTATGACCCCCAAACTTATGAAATGGACTTAAAAATTAACATGTTACATAATTCATTTTAAAAACATATATTATTTTTAATAATTTTTTGCACTTAAAATTTATAAATAAGTTAGATAATTACACTAAACATAGATAAAATTTTATACTTGAAGTTTGGTGTATTACTAAATAACTTTATATTTTATTGATTCTTATATGAATTAATTTTTTATAGCAAATTAAATTATATGAGCATTTGCTATGACATTATTTATTATAATTTATATCATATATCTTATATTTAAAATTATAAAATATAATATTTAAATATATTTAGTGACCCACCGGTTCAACCACCCACCCACTGGTTGAACCAGTAACCCGTTGACCCACCTCGTTCACCGGGTTCCCTCCCGGGTTGGGTTTAATAACTATGAGTTTTATAGATAGCATTTTTTTTTTAATCTTTTGTTTATTAGAAGAAGGAGAGAATGACTGGCATTTTATTTTTTTTTTATAATGCAGTCAATAAAAATAGATAACTTGACTTTTGTCGACCTCATAAATAACCTTTTTCTTTTTTTGGTAATTACAAGCTTTACAGTCTCATGTTCTACAAGGGTCAAAGATCTAGCATTCTCTCAACAACCTAGATGCTTCAGGTAAATTTACCAATCGAGAAGCAAATTAATTAGTTGTCGTACCTCAACTTAAATTATTGTTCTTTGTTATATTTGCAAAACAAACTGTTCATAATGGGTATGCTAACATGAAATCAACAAGTCCTCAACAACTGGACACCATCCCATAAAACAGATAATCAATCCTCTAAGGATTCAATTCTCGGAAGAACATTTTATAGGAGCAGCGTGACATACCTTTACATCTATGTCGCGAAACTGGGTATTGACATCATACGCGTGAAACCTGCAATGAAGATTACCATCAAAGTACATGTAGTAGCGAAAATTGTACTTGCATGACACAAATCCATGATTTCAAGGAGCCATACTCACCCTAAATCCTGCACTATCTCAAACTGGTAGGCAATACTGAACTTTTTAATCCACTTGTAACTCAGGAGACTTCAAAAGAACTTCAGCACGACCAAACTCTCAAAGCGAACTATCTTTCTTTCCGGCATAAAAATAACAGCCATAGGATCACTCTGGAAAAAACAAGGTCTGTAAGTGCTAACCAAAGACAAACAGTGGTAATCCTGAATCTAGTAACTGTGATTGTGTATAAAGGATTTATTTCAGTGGTATATGGAGAATAGCAGACCAGAGAGAGGAAGTTGACAGCAGAAGACTGTGGGGTTTGAGATTGTCCCTAAAATTGTGATAAAACGTAATTTGACGCTATTGTTGAGTGTAAATCATAAGAATCATTGAGAAGTACTATTCGTCATATTAGATAGCTCGAACAATTTAAGTTAATAAGCAACTTAAGCGACTTTTCACAAACGAGAGTTGGCCATGCTTGTCAATCATCCAAACTGGCCAAGTAAAACAAGACCAAACCAGGTGGACAAGCATCAGTTATTTCCTTATTATATCCATTATAAATACAAACATACCATAGATAAATGCAGATTAAACTTCTCATCGAGAATCGAGATCATATTAGTCGATGGGTGGAGAAGGGTGCAAGGTGCAATTGAAAGGGGTTTAAGTGCAGTCTTGCATCTTTCAGTTTCCAATTCTGCTACTGACAACTTAAACAAGGACAGAAAGCTAGCAAATGCATCTACTCCAGTAACTACAGGGAAGGTAAACATTACATGCGGTACATTTAATTTGAATAAAGTGTACAGGAATATCATGCTAGTTTGGTGTCAACAATCCTAAATGGCAGATTGCCTGATCTAGCGATTTATATAGTTTCCTGATATAAACTGCATGGCAGAACAAGAATACCAAAACACAAGAATACAGGAAGCTTCAGATATTTGACAATCTTCTCGACAACTGTGCTTGTCAAAAATCTAATCGTGAGAGAGAGAGAGAGTTGAGCTTCTCCAACGTTTAGATGTCAATACAGACCACACTATATCCACTTCCCTTATGCTTATTGATATGCCTCAGTTTTCTGTTTAGACAAACTCAATCGCAATTTCAATTACCAAGTCATTATTAGACAGACAATTGTTCCTTTATCCTGAGACACCACAAAGAAAATACAGCATCCAAATGGAAGCTGGAAAGTTCCTGTCTGATTTGATTAAATAGTTGAACGTCCTCAAGTATCTTAAAGTGTCATATAACAGATTATATCTACAAAACTTTTTAGGCCAGGAAGCATGAATGTTCCATATTAAATTTACATACGTCTGCTTCTGTCTGCAGATACTGCACTAGAGGCTACAAAGAGCTCATTATGAAAGTGATCAATTAAAAGGAGTATTCTACGTAAGATAGCATAGCCAACCTCCCCTTGCTCATCCTATAATCACTTCGTAAGATCTACAAGAGAGTACAAGCTCCACTGCATTGGATATCATAGATAATTTTTAAATAATTTTTAGTGCTATACGCTTTCATTTTTGCTCTTCACCTTGAAGAAACGTTTACAAATGATTTCAAAAATTGTGAAGCTATAAAATGGAGCTCCTAAACCTCTGAGACATTGAGAAATATTAAGCAAATGCATATCGCCATTTTTTGTTTAGAAGACCTAACATAAATTCGTTGATAATCATGAAACATCAGGAAATGATGAACAAACCATGGATAGCACACGCGTCCTGATCACGCATGTTCGTAGCAGAGAGAGACAACTACACAAATTTGCAAACAAGAACTTAGTGTTAGATACCTTTATCATATTAAAGCTGAAAGTATGACTAGAATAGAATACTGATTGTCGGTGTTTACAAAGACTGCTGAGCTCTAATTTACCAGTAAGTTTGTTAAATGAAAAGACTAATAATATGCAGAATTAGCAAGAAAGATAAAGAATTCAAGAAACCCTTCCCAAGTTTGCTTCCATACAAAAAGTTTAATTGGGATTCAACTAGTGGAACTACTACTCGATGGTATAGCAACAACATGGCTCACATTGAACAAAAAGTTAGTCTTTTTTAGCAGCAAGAGGTTTTTGCGTTCAACCACATTGACTGAAATGAATTCAAACACATAAGTTCGTACAAGTTTGCTGCTCTCCGAAAAATGGGGAAACTTGCTTTATACAATAGATAGAGCATGAAGCCAATACTCTACCTGACCTAATTTGACCAACTTGCAAAGTACCACAGAAAACTGAACCACAAGAGAATTAGGGGAGAGCTAGATACCCATCCATTCTGTTTGGTGTGATGTCTATGTACAACAGACCTTAGGAATTACCTTGTTAATGACTGAAGACTCAATCATCTCACATGATGGACTCAAGAAAGGGAAGGATTATAGCATAAAAACCATGCTTCAGGTGATAATAGTTATCATCTGTTGAGGCCTATGGTTTTGGATCAAGAAGTGAAGTTCAATAAGATTGCAACTAACAAGGCTTTTCATTTACTGCATTGTATTCTAATCTGTAGCATTTTGCATTTAGTTTTCGAAGCATGAATCATAATATTGTTCTACAATACAGTGAAGCATTCGCATCCAGACTACCATTAATTTGTTTTCTATCACTATTAGATATTCCAAATACAGTAGAATATACATAGCAAAAATCAATTCAAAACTGAAACTTTTTGAAAGATGCTTCATTTTTGCGTATGATCCAAATATGGTAATCTTTCACCTCAATTTGATGACATTTCATGTCAAGCAACATCTTTTCGCTTCCCTGAATTTATCTCTCAATGCCTAAGCAAGCAAGCAACGCCTAAACTCCAGAAATTTACTAAAATATCACATATTCTCATCTTAACTCTTCAACCGAAAAAAAAATGTATTAAAATAAATTACACTAATCACGACTATCAATTGAATTGTACTTTGAAGCATCTCCATTGCTCATTCCTCTTATCAGCTCATTTCACATGCAGATACATAAAAGAACGCGAGGGGGAAAAAAACGCGTGCATTTATTGATTTTACTCTGGATTAAGTTAAAAGGAAGCCTCGATCTGAGAGTAAAGGCATTTGCAGCCGCGAGAGTTGAGAAAAGCATCTATCGCATCGTTCGGAGCGTTGGAAGAATTAGCTTAAAATGAAGCAATGCCGCCGACCGCCGACAGTCCGCCGCCACGTCGGAGCAGCAATTCCCCACCTCAGTCGCCGCAGCAGCAGCCGCCTCTTTTCTTTTTTTCTTTTTAAGTATAATATTTTCAACTGTTGTTCGCTCCCTCAGCTCTACTCAGTAATCCAGGAAGAGTTGTGGTCATTGAAACTTTGGTTTATGTCAGCTGAATCTCAGACCACTACAAAAGTGTCTTGTAGAGCGGGGCGGTAGCATGTTTTCTACTTTTCTTAGAGTCCAAATTGACAAAACTGTTTAGTTTACTTTTCTAGCACAAAAGATCCTATTAGAAATGAAATGTACCTCTTTGAAGGAAAATTTTGCACCCCTTATGCACCTCATCAACCAATAACGTACTTCATCGAGACCAAAACCAGTGTACTTCATGAGAAAAAACAAAACAAACCCTGCTAATAACTTTTCAAACTTGGAAAAATTTAGAAAATGGGAATAGAGAAATTAAAAATTCATAAGATGAGTGTGACTTCGGGTGAATTTTTTAACAGGGTATGGGTCATTAATTATTTACCAATTAACATAGGTAATAAATTTATTGTTAAATGACTGAATTCTTTTCATCATAATATATCCACATTTATATCGACATATCATATGTACACTCACATGCGCACATATGGTACAAGGCCAATTCATGTTCATTTAGTCTTGTTTCTTTCTTCTGTAATTGGCTCCGGTTTTTCTTCCTGGTTTTTATAGTAGTGTTTGACGAGCTTTTGCACCTTAATCCCACTTAATGCTATTGGTGATGGTAGATGTGATTCTTTTTCAACTTTTTAATGCTGATGATAAATTTAAAGCGAGTCGGGACTAAGGAGTATTACGTAATCAACCTTCAACATGATCTCCTTTTTAATTATGATTAGTTACTTAAAACTCCATTCGCAACCAGACATACATAAATTGAACCAAATTTTTTAATTTAATCCAACTATATTTAAATTCCAACATAACTATAAATTTTCATTTTTCAGAAAAGAACTAGTTTTCCCTTTTCTTTCCTTTTTTTTTCAAAAAAAAAAAAAAAAACTCTAATCCATAGTGCACCCCCAGAAATGCACGCCTAATGATAGGTAAATTGTGCAAAATGGCAACAGAGACACAATTTCAATTTTGCAGGTGATAGAGTAGGAATTAGAGTAGTTTTATAGGTGTGCACTGTTAGTTAATTGATCTTTCTGCACTTAATTTGAATGAAAACTGCCTAATTTGAGCATTTACTGAGTTTTTCTTTTTTTTTTTTTTGGCTGGGTCTTTCCCCTTGGGCAAAGCTCAACTTTTATGGATTGGATCATCAACAAAGCTCGTGCAAGGGATCATCCAGAAACTCAGCAAATAAACCAGAAAACTACACTCTGACAAATACAAAATAGAGTATATGTATCAGCCAAAACAATGATGAGGTAGTCCAAAAACCCTACCTATAACCATATAAGCCAATTCGCTATAGTTTAGTTACGGCTGTCTCCCTAAAAATCGAAGCATAATTAAGCTCTGAACTTTCTGCCACGCTATACAAGAAAACTTCACAATCAAAAAATTGATAGGGATTCAACATCTCCTCGATCTCCACGCACGGCGCACATCTATCAGCCTCTATCCCCGCTCCCCAGCCCTTTAATCTATCCTTTGAGGCTTTGTTGTTGGGTTAGTTTAAACAAATTGGGTCATGCATGCAAAACATAAAAAGGATCAAATACTTTCTTTTTTAAACCTTAATCGAAGGTCTGGTGGATCTCTTTCACACAATTAGTCAAATTTTAAGATGGTGGCGGTGAATCACTTGCTCAACTTCAGAAGATGTCAATATTTCAAGAAAATCGTAATCAAGGACAAATAGCTGCAGACATGACGGGAGAATTCGAAAAAATTTAGTCATCCAAATACATGCAGTGTTTTAATTAGCCGTCATTAATAGAGACTTAAGTCAAATAACCTTAACATTTTACGGGAAAGTCCAAAAATTATGTGCGGACCAAAAGACTAAAGGGCCCAAATTGAAGGCCTTAAGGTCCGATCACCTATAATATTGCCAAATCAGAGCCAATCGGGTTCTTCATGAAACAATCATATAGCCAAAGAAAAAGAAATGTTTTTGCTATCATTCTATCATTTCATTTTGTTCTCCACTAATTTCCATTATTATTATTGTTGTTGTTATTATCATTTTGCTTAAAACTCTCAAAGAAAAGAAAAGGTCTTCCCCTTTCTTGTCCATTTTCTACCCATTCCTCTCACACTAGCTAAAGAGAAAAAGAAAATTGTTTGCTACTTAAGTGGTATAAAAGAAACTAGAAAATGCACCTCTTTGACATTTGTAATTAAATTTCTTTTTCAGAAAGCTGCGAGAGAGACTTTATGGTATGATTGTTGCTGCAATGGATACGTAGTTATTCGGTCCGATTGCAATGAAAAACGAGAAATCCTTGTTCTCCTTTTTGAGTGTGGCATTAACAAATAAGATGCATTGCATAATGCTGATACAATATTGAATATTCAACGTTTTTGGAGTAGACGTTTCCAAACCATATACTACATAACAGGAAAAACTGAAAAGAAAGAAAACGGAAAGAGGACCGCCGCCCAATTGGTCCTTTCCGGTGGCCGTGGACGTTTGCCAGGCGACAACACTGCGAAGATGACTAATAATGGAGAAACGATTTTTTGATTCTAAGTAACGCAGCGGCCAACGAATCAATCACGGACGGTAGGCCCCCGGTCAAATTAGGCAAGGCCGTTGAGTATTCTCACCATCCAACAAACAATGAATGATTCATATAAATACTATATTTTTCAGACAGAAAAGAAACCGCATCAATCATTATTCTATTAAACAACTACTTGCCTGTACATGTCTTTATCAAGCAAGGGTAAAATACAAAAAAAAAAAAAAAAAAACCTCCCGTGTTAAATTTAATATACAGAAAAGTCTCTCGTAATTTCAAAATATACAATACGATTCCCTGTACTTTGAATTAAATTGTAAAGGTAACAGAATCCGTTAAACTTAACGAAAATGACTTATTGGAACCTGAAAAAAAAATTTTATACCTAATTTTTAACAGATATACTTGTTCTACCCCTTTACCCTCAATTCTCTCTATCTAGAGAATAAAACAAATGATTTTTTTGAGCTGTCTTTTGCTTAATTATATCAGGATATTTTGGTCATTTCGTCCATTTCCGTTAAGTTTAACGAATTCTGTCACCTTTACAATTTAATTCAAAGTATAGGGTATCGTGTTGTATATTTTGCCACGTAGGGGCTTTTTTGTGTATTAGATTTATCAAGGGGTTTTTTTTGTTTTTTACCCATTAAGCAATAACGGAAACCGTAGGAATTCTTTTTTTTTTTTTTTTGTCCTGGCTATTTTATTATAATTATAGTTATTATTATTTTTTTAGTGGCAGAGAAGTGGGGTTTAAAAATGGAAAGGGGCAATTCAAGACCTCTAATTATTGGGTTTTGAACCGTAACCACTAATCTAATGCCTCATCAACTTGATTTTTTCCTACTAATCATAGATGTATTTTTAATAAGATTACAAAGAACGCGCAATGATTCAAATATATAATACAATCAACAAATTAATTCATAAATAGTGAAAATTACAACTCAATAATATTAAAAATAAGTCCACAAATAGTGAGAGAAGAAGCTCACATACTGATGCTTATTTTAATCTTGACTACTAGATCAAGATTTCACTGGCTCCTACTAAATGGCATTGCATTTTTATTTAGGCTAACCAAGATACTACGCAATTCTAAAATTGCTTCATTTTATATTTTCGGCTTCACATTGTAGTTTTACTAAAACAAAAAATAAATAAAGAAAAAAGGAGGCGTCCGCAGGACTTACCGCGGAGGGAAGAAGCCAAAGGGAGGATGTAGAACCATAGGGCTAAACTTCAAAGAGTACTTCTAATTCCAAGAAAGTGCAATACGAGGGGATTGTGGGGTTTGTACAGAATGAAACACTACGCCTACCAAAAAAAAAATTTACGTTTTGAACATTCTAAAGTTAATTCCAATGTTTTATTTTAGTGACCATTGAATTTAATCAATCTTGTCCTTTTATATTTTCAAGGTTTATGAATTAGTGAAATTCTCCTTCTAATTGACCCTTAAAGGATGGCCAGGTAAATGCAAGCCTTAACAAAGAAGCAAGTATTTTGGATTAAACAAATATTAGTATTCCTTATTAGATGAGTGAATTTATCCACTGGATCGGGTGGATTTTGATGAATCATGGTAGGACATATTGAAAAGAGAGAACAAAAATAAATAGTTCAGAGAATGTTCGTGAATTTACTAGCAAATAGGCAAGTGTTTAGAATTATACAAATTTGCAATGACATGAACATTCTAAACTATCTACTTCTGTTCTCTCTTTCCTGATCCTCATTAAACCAGTCTTCTTTTTGGCAATTCCAATCATTCCGGTACCCTACAAGAAGACTATATTTCCATAATAATGTTCCCAGCACATAAACCATTTACCATTACAACTAGGCAAACACTTGATTATAGGCGTGACAGTGACATGGGGTCTAATCTTGCAAAAGTTGCTGCATTATAAATTTTTCTTTCTTTTTTTTTTTTTTTTTGGTTTGTTGCTCTAGTTTTATGCAACCGCAAATATCCAAAGATTATTTTCTTGAAAAATTTCTACTCATGGCATTCCTGGTAATTGGAGCTGACACTGGATAAGGAAAAAATCATGTAGAATTTGCATCACTTGTTATCTCCCTGCTTCCATGTACATTGCAAACTATGTGGTTATTCATGACGAAAATAAAGTAGGATTTGTTTTTCTAATAGGTATCTAGTATGCAGTGGTTAACACACTTTATATTGTACATAACTTAACATGTGAACACACGCGATTATTCTTATTTATTTAGACACTTTTCCAAACTAATTATACTTTAAAAAAAAAAAACTAACACCTAAAACCCCTCCTAACAAGTACGTATCCACAAGGGATCATTAGCCAAATCAAATAAAGTATAGCGAAATTTTCTTTGATTTCAATGCTAATGGAACTTGTGCACTTGGAAATTTTCCAATCACGAAGCCTTTAGGCGGCTAGGAACCAAACAGCTTAATTACCTTCATGCTTTGGTCATCCATAGCTGGATAAAAAGTGGAATAGTCGATAATTATTTTTTTCTTTAGTGCAAGTGAAAGAGTAGAAATCTGAAAAATCTCTCGCTTACACACACACACACACACTCTCTCTCTCAATCACTCAAGCCAACGCTCCCTCGAGTCTATAATCATTGATCTCTTGATGACACCAATTAGGCTACTCTTTAGGCAATATCGGCATATTGGTCAAAGCTCGTGCTACACATTTGGGACTCGATCTTTGGCAACCCATCAGCCAGCTCGTGCTACAGATATACTCCAATGACTTGCAGCCTATGGGCTACGTAAGATTTCCAAAATCTCCTGTTTCTACATTTCTTAGTTCTGTTTGCTCGTGGGCTTAATTTAGAATCTTACATTAACATTGAGGAACTATCCGACGGCGACCCCCTAACTTCACCTCCTTAAATATAACATAAGTTTCTGCGAATATAAATTATATGACATTTTCTCCTTGGAAACTTTCCACCACGGACTCTTGACTTGATCCATCCAATTCGAACCTCAGATTCCTCAACCCTTTTCTTGTCATAAAGAAATACTGCACCGATTTTTTTTTTTTTTAAAAAAGGTCAAATACAACCCCCTCCCCCCCCCCCCCCCCAAAAAAAAAGCCAGGGCTTTTTAAAGCCCAACTTTTATGCAAGAGAACTGACCACAAACCCTTCAATTTTAGCTAGAGATGGATTCTTCATCCTATGAGAATCCAACTCCTGATCAGAACTTCTCCTCTGAATTCTCATTCTGGTTTCTTGACAACAATAAGGTTCCTAAACAAGAACTTGAGACCACTGAAGCTATACAATCATTAAATTTGAAAAGAGATTCCAAGAGGCAAGAAAAGCAGTACATAGGAGTAAGAAAGCGTCCATGGGGAAAATATGCAGCGGAAATCAGGGATTCAACAAGGAATGGAAGGAGAGTTTGGCTAGGAACATTTGAGAGCCCAGAAGATGCAGCTTTGGCTTATGATCAAGCAGCTTTCTCGATGAGGGGTCCCCTGGCTAGCCTCAACTTTCCAATGGATCGAGTCCAGAAATCACTTGAAGGTATTAAGCATAACTGGGAGAATGGCAGCTCACCAGCTGCGGTTCTGAAGGCAACCCACAAAATCAGGAGTAGCATGTCAAAAAGAGCAAGAAGAAATCAAGAAAAACAAGGAGAAAAAGTTGTTGTGGAGCTTCAGGACTTGGGAGCTGACCTTTTGGAGGAACTTCTCAGTTCCTCATCTGAAAGTGCCGCTAGTAGTCATTAATGAGAAACTCAAAATCCTTGCCTTCATTTCCCCTTTTCGTAATTTTTTATTCCATAGTTAATCCCATGTATGCCTATTTAGAATAAACAAAACGTAATTAGCCTTCCTCTTATGTATAATTAGCTACTTCACTTTCTCCTACTTCCAATCTCAACATTTTTTTTTTTAAATTTCACTTAGTTTTGGCAAGATTAAAATGCCTACTTTACTTTTTGCAAATTGATAAAAATCTAGGAGCTAACAAGTAAAATTGTGATCTGATAGTATCAAAATTTTTAATATTATATTAGGTTTTGGTAAATTGGAGACCGACATGTGATCCATCTTTCACTTTCAGATAACTACCTGCTTTCTTTATCTGCTTTCTGTGCTCTCTCTGTTGTCATTCTCTTCCTTGTAGTTTGTTTAGTGCAATTAATTATGTGCGATGCAATACAAATATTTCAGGCTTAAATCTCAAAATCTGCACGTATATATATAGTAATGCCCAGTAATTTGACCTTTATTTAAGCCAATAGCTCAAGTGTCTTTAGTCATATATAGTTGCAATATGAAGTATACATTATGTTTATGCTTTCGAAAAAACAGTCAAATTGATCAAGAAGAAATCTATATTTCCCTATGTTTAGAGTACTAAGACCATACTCCATTAGGGATCCAATAAAGGTTAAAAGAAATACACAGAGCCAGGGTGCCAGTAGGGATTCTTATATTATTTATTTATTTTGTTCAAGTACCAGAAGAGGGAAATATTAATGTTCAGGCATTATTCCTGAAAACCTTTCAGTACCGAACATTTTTGAAAAGAAAAAAATTATTTTATCGTCCATCATGCAAGTCCATAAAACCTAGCTACGGATGACTTGCCCGTAATGGTTTGGTTTCTTGTCTATGTAAAAGTCAAAATTCAAGTCGTGTGGCTATAATCTTGACCAGTTTCTTAGTTATTTTTTTTTCCCCCTGTAAACAAAGACAAAGTCTCTTGTAGTTTAAGCATAACATCAACACTTTGAAACAAATTGAAGGGATTTTGACGGTAAGCCAATGATCAAATTTCCAAAACTTACAATACTTCACGAAAAGAAACATTAACATGGTTTAGGGGGTCCGCTTATAATTAAAAAGCTAATCAAGGAAGGAAAACAAACGAATTTACATAAAGTCGATTTGTTGATGTGAAGTTTTTTCAATTAGTTGTGAAACAGTCGTACAATTGCATCAGTTATTTTAACTTGGCCTTTGCATGTCTAGGAGATGAAGGAAGTAGTCAATCAATAAAAATACCTTGCTGGCACGAAGGCTGCACAGTTGACAACGACATTATTTGGTAAAGAGATTACTTCTTTTTCAACTTAGGTTGAAATAGGATTTTTTTTAACGGATATCAAGGAAACTTGTTAATACAACTATATTATATTTAATTTACTATGTGAATGTATGCATTCACAATTATTATACATCATGCATTTAGATTCTAATTCCCAAATTTACTTTTACAAAAAATTAACACATTAGACCTCTCACAGCCAACCCATTGAAACATTTGATAAAATTTTCTACAAAGTTGTTCACAAAAGTAGGGATAGCAACAGGATGCCCGTCCCGCAGGGGGAGTAATGGGGTGGGAGATGGAGCGGCACTGGGGGGAATTTTTCTCCCCCTGTTTTAAATGGGGCGGGGGACGATACCCCTGCATCAACTCCTGCCCCATCTCCTGCTTCAATTTATTAATATAAATAAATGTAATATATCATATAATCTAATAATAATAAACTTAAAATATTTGCTAAATAAACATAACTTTTATCTCATTTCTATCCAAATTCCTAGTTGATATTTGGTACAAGCATATTACGCGTTCTATGAGTATTCCCAAATGTTATTTATACAATTCAATTGAGTTTCTTAATTTTCTTAGTGTTTTATTTCAACACTTTTCTTGTTTCATTTTTCATTTTTCACTTTTTTTAATTCCGTATATTAGTTTATTCTTTGAATTTAGATTTGATCTATTGAATAAAGACTCTTAAAAAAAAAAAAAGCAAATTATCAACCGCGAGCACTCGCAGGGGAAACGGGACGGGGCGGGGAGAACGACAAGGGCAGGGGCGAGGGAAGTTTTTTGGCAGGTGGGACGGGGGAGGGATTCCCGCCCCAAACCCACCCCATTTCTATCCCTACACAAAAGGAGTGAGACATTCTACATAAATAGGACGACTGCAAGCAACGTAGGATGCCTAAAAGTTCAAAAAAGTGAAGTAACGGATAAACTTGAAAATGGCAAAATGATTATTTAGTTTAATAGGTTAAAAAAACCCCTTAGACAGAAATCACTGTTAAAACAATAAGAGACAAGAAGCATGAAGAGAAAGGACGGATGCTTCTTAATCAACAAATGGGTCATGATAAATTCGAAGAAATTTCAACTGTCTTAAATTACATTTACAGGTACCTATCTTCTTCCAAAGTAAAACATTCTTAAAAAGAAAAAAATTTCTTCATTTTTATTTTATTCTTTTTTTAATCCTAGTCACATTGTTCTATAGAACATCGGATTCTGCCTAGCTATCACAGAGTCGAGATATTGTTTATGAACTGATGAATTTGACTTAATATCCACGGGGAGGAGAACGGTCAAACGAAAATGCATTGGGTTTCATGGAAGACATTGTCAACTGGAAAACAAGCTGGTGGTCGTGGCTTCAAAGATCTTCAAAGCTTTAACAAAGCTTTGCTAGGCAAACAGATTTGGAGGCTTCTCATATGCCCCAATCTTTTGCTAAGTTTTGAAAGCCAGGTACTACCCCAAAACAACCCTCTTCAACTGCGAAATCAAAGGTAATGCATCATGGATATGGAAAAGTTTGATGTCCGCAAGAGAGGTGGTGCAATGCGGAGCTAGGAAACAGATTGGAAATGGGAACAACACCAGAATTTAGGAAGATGCTTGGTTGTTGGAAGGAAAGGGCGGTAAGATTGAATCCACAAAACCCCCTGGTTGCAATATCACAACAGTTAGTGAATTGATAGCCAACTTTAGGCGGAAATCAACTCTCATCTTCAGGCTCTTTAGTTCACACGAAGCTGCTCATATACTCAAAACACCTATAAGCTTGACAGGGCGACCAGATTGCTACTTTTAGACTCATAGCAAAAAAGGAAACTACACGGTCAGCTCGGCATATGCAGCACTTACAAGTTTTGCCACGCAGCCTATAGTGCAATTGAATGGCAAGGGGGAAACAAGCTGGTCAGGGGGAAATAACAAAATCTGGAAACAACTATGGGGTCTTCCAGAAAAGCACAAACACAAGATGTTTTTATGGAAGTGCCTTCATCAAGTGCTACCAGGTCGAGAGGCAATCTTTCGGAGAATGGGAAAAGGTGACCTAATGTGTAAGCAATATGGTGAAAACAGTGAGATAGTGGAGCACATTTTCTTCCAGTGCAAGGACCGCAAGGATGATCTGGAAGATGGCTTCATTGCAATGGGATGGTCTGCAGCAATTTACAAGCGACTTCAAGAAATGGTGGAGTACGCTAATGGAAGTCACAGATAGAAAGGAAGGAAGGGAACATATAGTATTGACAGTGGACTTTCTTTGGCAAATTTGGAAAGCCGGGAATACAGTAGAGTTCAAGGACAAAGAAAGACATCCAATGAAAGTGATTACAAAGGTAGTTATGGAATGGAAGGAATATTTGAAATCCCAACAGACTGAACAGCAAGTGAGCATCTCAGAAACAGATATAGCTGATGTACAAGAGCAGAGGGTGGTCTAAGATTGAATCCACAAAACCCCCTGGTTGCAATATCACAACAGTTAGTGAATTGATAGCCAACTTTAGGCGGAAATCAACTCTCATCTTCAGGCTCTTTAGTTCACACGAAGCTGCTCATATACTCAAAACACCTATAAGCTTGACAGGGCGACCAGATTGCTACTTTTAGACTCATAGCAAAAAAGGAAACTACACGGTCAGCTCGGCATATGCAGCACTTACAAGTTTTGCCACGCAGCCTATAGTGCAATTGAATGGCAAGGGGGAAACAAGCTGGTCAGGGGGAAATAACAAAATCTGGAAACAACTATGGGGTCTTCCAGAAAAGCACAAACACAAGATGTTTTTATGGAAGTGCCTTCATCAAGTGCTACCAGGTCGAGAGGCAATCTTTCGGAGAATGGGAAAAGGTGACCTAATGTGTAAGCAATATGGTGAAAACAGTGAGATAGTGGAGCACATTTTCTTCCAGTGCAAGGACCGCAAGGATGATCTGGAAGATGGCTTCATTGCAATGGGATGGTCTGCAGCAATTTACAAGCGACTTCAAGAAATGGTGGAGTACGCTAATGGAAGTCACAGATAGAAAGGAAGGAAGGGAACATATAGTATTGACAGTGGACTTTCTTTGGCAAATTTGGAAAGCCGGGAATACAGTAGAGTTCAAGGACAAAGAAAGACATCCAATGAAAGTGATTACAAAGGTAGTTATGGAATGGAAGGAATATTTGAAATCCCAACAGACTGAACAGCAAGTGAGCATCTCAGAAACAGATATAGCTGATGTACAAGAGCAGAGGGTGGTCGAAGATACAAACACACTGACCATTAGTGTATATGTGGGACAGCATCTCGAGGGTCTGAACATGGGAATCGGCATTACGGCAAAAAACAGATTGCATCAACTAAGTGCAGTGTGGCTAATGAAAGAAAGAAGCACCGGATCACCAGTACTGGACAACCTTGTGGCTATACGGTTGGCACTTTGCAAGCTTAAGGAACGTGGCTGCTTCAGTATCAAACTTCAAACACCAAGCCTTCAGGTTTACAAGCTTCTCAACTGTCAAGTTTCATGCAACATGCTACTAGCAGCCCACATACAAGACATAACAGATCTTAGCTTAATGTTTACGATATGCTCATTTGAGTTTCAGTCTGCTAATGATAGCATTAATTGTCTCAGTCATAAACTGAGTCAGCAGGCAATGCATTTACATTTTGATGAGGAATTCTTCGATTCTCAGTGTTTCAGTACACTTTTGTGAAGAAAAACTTGAGCCTTTGCTCGAATAGTGTAATTTCTCTATTAGTAGAAATAAAAACTTCTAGCGTTTTGGGGAAAAAAAAAAGTCATAGAGTCGAGA